CACACAACAACAACAACATTATTCATTATAGGAGCCCTGATGGCACAGTGGTTAAAGCGCATGGCTACCAAACAAACTGTCTGCGGTTTAAACCCACCAGCTGCTCTGTGGTTGAAAGACATGACAGACGCTTCTGTGAAAATAACAGGCTTGGAAACGTATGTGCACTTCTACTCCTCCAGTCTATAGGGTCACTACTCTGGTCCATAGGGTCACTACTCTGGTCTATAGGTCACTATGAGTTGGAATTAACTCTAGCACAATGGATTTGGTTTGGTTTGATTATGCATTATGGGTGAAGCTGACCAGGGCAGACTACGTGCTCATGACTGACTAGGACTCTGGTAACAATGCCAGCATCTTTTGACTTATTCTTCAGGTTATGGTGAAGCACTGACATTGTGAAGATTATAATACTGATTTAAAAAAAAAAAAAAAAAAAAGCCAAACTCACTGCTCAGAGTCAGATCCGACTCATAGTGACCCTGAGGTGGTATCTCTATGGAAGTAGATTGCCCAAACTTCCTTCTGAGAAGTGTCTGGTGGGTTTGAACCGCCAGCTTTCTGGTTAGCAGTCAAATGCCTTAGGCACTACACAACCAGAGCTCCTATAATACTGATAAGTGATGGTCATATGTATTGGGTAACAATACACTTTCTCAGGATGTAATAAATGAAGAACCTGAGGAAGAACTGGATCTAGATAACCAAACAAACAGAATTAAGGGGTAAAAGAATCATCCTCCCAATAAAAGGAAGGATGGTCAAAGGCCAGAGATGGCTTGTGGGGTTTGCAATTACCTTTATCCAAAGAATTTGCCCTTTGTCTTCTTGAGAGATAACTTGTAAAACCTTGGAATTTTTCCAGGAATCCTAAGTGTCATTGATGAGGGCTCTGGACCACACCTAACCTAACAGGTTATGCTAATGAAGTGACTCCTGGGTGGTGGCCAGGCCAGAAAGACCCTTAGGTGTTATCATCCTGGTGGTATGACCGACCTCCGAGGAGGGGGCTGGAGTCTGAATTACATAATGTGGCCTCGGTGAAGCTCTGGACACAGAAGCTCCCTGGGTTTCCTGGTTGGTGCAAGACATCTATAAGTGTGGGAGGGCAGCATGTCCCTCTTTGGGACATGGCAGCTCTGTGTTGGGAACACCGTCAGACCTTGCCCTATGGATCTCTTCATTTGTATTCTTTGCTTATAATGAACCTGGAAGTAGAGAGTTTTCTGGGAGTTCTATGAGTCATTGTAGTGAATTACTGAATCCAAGGGGATAGTGGGGGACCTAAGGACCCCTGAACTTATGGATAGCATCCTGAGGGGGTAGAGGGAACCCCTGAATTTGTAGTCAGCAGGTCAGAAATGAGGGTGTCCCAAGCTTTTGTCTGGCATCTGAGGTCTTGGGTAGACTTGGTAGTCTTAAAAACCTCTCTACCTTATGAGATCTCACGTGGCTCTGGGTGGCCAGGGTCAGAGGGAGAAGAGCTGAGGGGGTAGCTGGTGTCAGAACAGAGAGGAAGACAAGTGAGAAGGGACTTACTGGATTTTCACAGCACACGGCAAAACGGATGTTCCCATAGGATTAAGGATCCTGAGACGGGGAGATTATCTTCGCTATCTGGGTGGGCTCAATGCAGCCACAGGGGCTTCACCTGTGGAGGAAGGCGAGGAGGTGGCAAGGTGACAACAGCAGAGGGAGGGAAGGCGACACGATGTGGGGCTGTGGGCCAAGGAATGAGGACAGCCTCCAGAAGCCAGAGAAGGCAAGGGCGCAGCTTCTCTTCTGGAGCTCCCAAAGGAATGCGGCCCTGCCAACACCTGGACTCCAGACTCTGACCTCCCAAACCGGAAGAGAGTGACTCTGTGTTGTTTTAAGGCACCAGTTTGTGGTGGCACAGTGGGTAAGGCATTCGCCTGCTAACTAAAAGGTCAGTGGTTCAAACCTGCCAGCTGCTCCGAAGGAGAAAGAAGAGGCAAGTTGCTTCTGTAAAGATTTATAGCCTTGGAGACCCTATGGGCAGTTCTACTCTGTCCTACAGGGTCTCTATGAATTGCAATCCACTCGATGGCAGTGGTTTTCTTCTTGGATGACGTTCACGGTGGAGTCCTGGGGGGGTGAAAATGTGCTCGCTGCCAACTGAAAGCTTGGAGGTTTGAGTCTACCCCGAGGCACCTTGGAAGAAAGGCCTGGCTGTCTACTTCTGAAAACCAGCCACTGGAAGCCCTGTGGAGCCCAGTTCTGCTGTGTCCCACGTGGGGTTGCCATGAGTCAGTGTTGATGGCAACTGGTGCCTTTCAGGGTGTGTACCGTGGACTGAAGGGGACAAGGACAAAAGGAGGGAGAACACTGCAGTGGTCTGGTGCAAGGTGGAGTGGCTGGGACTGGGGAGTGGGCTGGGCGTGGAGAGAGAGGAGATGTGATTTGGGGATAGAAATGACACGACTTACTGGGCAGTGGGGATCAGGGGAGGACCGAGTCACCTAGGGAGAGTCCCGCTTGAGGAGCAATGCGGACGGCATGTCCTGTATCATCAAGCCCCCTTCAGTTTGTGAGAGAAACCCGCTCTGCTTGCTCTAAGCAAAGCAGGGCAATATATCGGTGTATGGAAACCTCTCAGGCTGCAGAGCCCTAACAGTGACCGCGGGCCTGTCTCTCTCCCATCTCCTCACTCCCCCTTCCTTGGAGCTGTTAGCATTCTCAGGCAGGCTCCCACGGTGCCAAACGCTGGATCCTAGCAGGACATCCAGTTCAGCAAGAGTTTATTTCTAGTCTTACCATAACCCAAGTCTTGGGGGAGGTGGGGCTCTTACTGGCCAAGCTTGGGTCACACGCCCAAATCCGCACGTGTCACTCAAGTCGGGAGCTGCAGGGCTCTGACTGGCAAGGCCAGGCTCACATGTCTGCCTTGGGGACCCCAGGCAGGTCTGCCCCACTGGAGCCATGTGGTTGGAGAGCAGGGAGGGGTGGGTCTCCTGAGGGCTGGGAAGCAAACTGGAGCCCTTACCAGCACCTGTAAAGGCCACAGTGAGGGTCACTCGAGGTAAGGGCCCGGCACAGCTGGGCCTGGAAGCGGTGGCTGGTACCTCGTCTGGACTGCTATCCTGGGTGGCTGCCTCCTTGCCTTCCTGGTCCATGTACTGCCCAGGACGGCAGGGCTGGGTCCTGACCTTCAGCCAGGCAGCCGGCCCACTTTGAGGACCCCCACCCTTTCCTGCTAGGGTCTCAGGTTGCAGATTTCATAACCACCCCACCCCACCCCAAATGCCACCTGGCAGGATTGGTGGTGAGCAGGTGGGGTGCCTACCTGCTCTGCTGTCAATACCAGCAGGGGAGGGGGGCCCTCTAGATTTTAAGGTGCCTCATAATGAAGTTTACCACCCCTCTACCCCCACCCCCAGCTGCCATGGAGTCGATTCCAACTCATCGCAGCCCTATAGGGCAGAATAGAGCTTTCCCATAAGGTTCCCAAGGCTGTAACCTTGACCGAAGCAGACTGCTACATTTTTCTCCTGCAGAGTGCTGGTGGGTTCGAACCACCCACGTGCCCATTAGCAGCCAAGTGTTTTAACCTCTGCACCACCAGGGCTCCTTGATCAGAATTATGGCCTCCCACATTTCCATGGGTTCTGACAAGACGTGTCTGCCTCGCAGCTGCTCAGCCTCGCAGCTCTGGTGGCTTTTAGGGTCCTCATCAGTTTCTCCCTAGTTCTTGGTCTTTACCACATTCCCTTTGTTCACACCTGGCCCCAGCACCACTGTCACTGGTCCAGCCTCATCTCAGTTCAGCAGGGCAGAGATGCTCTACCCAAAGCTCAGGTCACACGCTCATTCCTGAGCCCCTGCAGCCCGTGAATACTGCATGCTGATTGGCCGGGCTTGGGTCATATGTTCCAATCCTGATGCCTCATCCAGACAACTTGGGGGAGAGGCTGCAAAGGTGAAGTCTCAAAGTACAATCAGGGCTGACACTGCAAAAACGAGGCTGGGATGTTGGGGACACAGGAAGTGCACGTCCGCGAGAGCAACTTCAAATAATGAGAAGCTGAGAGGGCAGACGGAGCTTGTGGGCATGCTGGGTAAGGAAAGCCTGTGGTTTGTGCCTAAAGCTGGTCTCCTTGGGACGCATGGCGTGGGGACTCCGCTTTGCTGGACTGGCCTCTTGGTGCCCAGGGCTGACCCTCTAGGATCCTAGGGTGCAGACTGCTCCCCACCCCGGGAGCTCAGCCAGAACCTCTCTCAGTTCTGGGGCTTTTACAAATGACACAGGCGAGGGGTCCATTGAAAAATCATTTTATTATCAACATCATCTTCCCATCTAGCCAAGTGTCTGTCATGTATAAGGAATGTCAGTAAATATTCCATCTGAAGCTTCTTTGTACATATTTCCATCGATAAATAAACTCTGAATTCACATAAAAAAGTTAAACTTAAATAACTCATATTTCCTTCTCTTGTAACAGGCATATATTGGTAAAATATAAATATTCTTGGACTCAGGCTTTGTTCTAAGTGAGGACAGGGATTCATCACATGGTACAATTATTGACAACAAAATCAAGAAACTGTCAGCTGGTGTCCTGGCTCGGACGAGTACTGAGGTGGGAAACGGAAGATTCACATTTGGTTTCTGGACCAGGGGAGGGGCAGCAGTGATGGTGAGAAGGGGACATGTTTTCCTTACAACTTTGATAAAATAACCCGTTCTGCCGCTGCATCTTAACTTTGAATCTGTTCTGGGGATTAATTCCATAATCATTTTACTGAGAACTCAGAGGTCAACTAACAAAATATGGCACATAATCCATTTGGAACAATGTCAGGAGGTTCAAAATGATCATTGGGCTGAAATGATATGCACAGAAATGCACGTGGAGAGCGGTGATGGGGGGGCTGTTTGGTTAGTTCATTGTGGTCAGTTGAACATTCATCTCTGGCCTTGGCGCCCTGGCAGTCACCCGCTGGGGGCAGTCGGTCATCCCTGGTGCTCTACGCAGGACTCAGAGCATGCGGGGGATGATGGTGAAGGGCACGGCCGGGCTGCTGGCCTCCAGCTCCAGGGCTGTCAGGAAGCACTCGGTGGCTGCCCTGTCGTTACCCTGGGCTTGGAGGACCTCGCCCAGCCCGTTCCAGACCTCGTGGGCTGTCGAGTTCACCTGGACGGCGTCCCGGAGGATCTTCTCTGCTAGACTGTAGCGGCCCAGCTGGTGAAGGATCAGAGCCTGCAGGCAGCGGAGAGACAGACAGACAAACAGACCATCAGAGAGACTCTGTGCACTGGGCTTCGATGTTGTCCTTGAGTTTGCAGTGAGTTCCTTGAGGGCAGGAATCCATCTCCCATTGTGCTAGGCCTGTATTATGTCCTCAAATACTTCATGCACTCGAGGTAACAGTCAAGATACTCACTTGAACTCCAGGAAGCTGCTGCCATTCAACTATTTGGGAACCACAAAAATGGCATTTTCACATGGTTCATCCCAGTGCTTAACAACCAGGAGTCCATCAACCTGCATGGCTGTCCTGGCTGGTACCCACTGATGCCTGCCTACATGGAACTGTACCCCTCGTCCTTTTTTTAATCTAAAGAAATGCCAGTTGAGATCCATTTGCAGAAAAATGAAACAAGATATGTACCTCACACCACACACAAAAACAAACTCCAGATGGATCAAAGACTTAAATGTGAAACCTAGAACTATACAGTTTCTTAAGGAAAATTTAGGCTCAAACTTAAGGGCCCTAATATTTGGTATAAATAGACTACCAAGCATAATTCAAAATGCACCAACAGCAGAAGAGAAGCCAGATGATTGGGACCTTCTAAAAATTAAATGTTTATGTGCTTCCAAAGACTTCTCCAAAAGAGTCAAAAGAGAACCTACAGATTGGGAAAAAATATTTGGTAATAACATATCTGACAAGGGACTTATCTCTAGAATTTATAGAACACTCCAACACTTCAATAACAAAAAGACAAACAATCCAATTAAAAAATGGGCAGAAGACATGAACAGACACTTCACCAAGGAGGATATTCAAGCGGCCAACAAACATATGAAGAAATGCTCACGATCATTAGCTATTAGAGAGATGCAAATCAAAACAACAATGAGATACCATCTTGCTCCAGCACTAGTAGCAAAGTTCAACAAGACAGAAAATAACAAATGCTGGCGAGGTTGTGGAGAGATTGGGACTCTCATACACTGCTGGTGGGACTGTAAAATGGTACAACCATTGTGGAAAGCAGTATGGCGATTCCTTCAAAAGTTGGAGATACAAATACCATTTGACCCAGCCATCCCATTACTAGGTATATACCCTAAAGAAGTGAGAGCCATAACAAGAACAGATATATGCACGCCGATGTTCATCGCAGCACTATTTACAATAGCCAAAACTTGGAAACAACCTAGATGTCCAACAACTGAGGAATGGATAACCAAACTTTGGTACATTCACACAATGGAATACTATGCAACGCTAAAGAATAATGTAGAATCTGCAGAACACCGCATAACGTGGATGAACTTGGAGGACATTATGCTGAGCGAAATAAGTCAGTCACAAAAGGACAAATATTGTATTAGTCCGCTATTGTAAAAGTTAAGGAAATGTTTATATATTGGAGGACATTTTCTTTGTTGGTTACCAGGGGTGGGAGGGAAAGGGAGGGAATGCTGTTAGATAGATAGAGATAAATATTGATTTGGGTGAAGAGAAGGGCAATGTACCAAATGTGAGTGACCAGTATGGCAGCATTGAGGATGAGAAAGACAGAGAGAGTTACATGGGCAGTACAAACAACAAATATGAACCCCTTTGTAAATACAATACTGAGTTGTTAATGAAAGCAAATATGGGTATAGGGACGGATAGATGGGTGAACAAGCTAAACAATTATGTATGTCTAAATGGAGAGTGTATCCAAGATCATATACAGGGTTGGCAGAAAATGGGCCTCTCGAAGAGTATGAAGGGATGGACACTGGGAGGAGGTAACTATGGGGAGGAAGTGGGAGGGGAGCTGCTGCATTGTAAATTTTGGTCAATGACATGAGACAAAGTATATGTGAACTGCTGTATGAAAAGTGAATTTACTCTGTAAATCTTCACCCAAATCCTAATAAATAAAAAAAAAAAAAAAAAAAAAAAAAGAAATGCCAGTTAAGGCACTAATACCATAATGATCATAACAGGTTTGTTTTAACTCCCACTGTCTCGATAGCCTAACCAAGCCCCTGATCTCACTGTCCCGTGTGGCCCCAGATCATTCTACAGAGTTTTAATCGGGGTGTATGTGTTGTTTCCTAACTGTGTTTCTAAGTTGGGCATCTCCACGACTGGTGTCTTTGTATCTTTGACTCAATGGATATCCTTTCATTTACTCAATCGCTCCCCTCTTGGGACACTGTATCCAGTTTCTTTTCTATTATAGGTCATGCTGTGATGAACATCTTTCTGGATATTGGTAGATTTCAAATACTGTCATAGCCCTGGAAATCTTTGGTTCAAAAGACTCTTACTCGGAGCCTCCCCAAATAGTGTGAATAAAACAGAAAAAAGAGGAGCTACTTGTGTATAGGGCAATGGGGGAGGGCTCAAAGTCCCCTTCAGGCTCCTCCCACTGGAAGTGATGTGACTATTTAGGGATCCTTGCTTAAGGGCAAATTTCCCCCAAGTGATGTCAGAAAATGTGTTCTCCAAACATTTGGGAAGCTATATTCCCAAAGGGATGTATCACTTTCTACACCCATAACAGAGAACCAGTAGTTGTCTCCTGTCACACCCCCTACTACCATTACTCTTACTTTTTGCTAATTTCATAAGTGAGAAATGCCTGAAATGCCCTTCCCACTTCCTTCTGGAAACCTGCATCTCTGGTAATGACTGAGGTTAAATGTTTCCCACGTGGAAAAATGCAGAATTGAATTCCAAATTTTTATGGAATCCAGACTTTCTGGATCCACAGAAACTGCTGCCCTGAGAAATCGTTAAAGCTTGAACCAAAAGTATCTCCTGCATTCTTCTTTAAATCAAACAATGAACTAGTTTATTTAGTAAAGAATATTTGCCTTGAACATTGTGTTTTTGTGAAGAACTGTCTATATGGGATCAACTGACAACAGCAACTAGAAAGGTCAGATAGGAATCATGGAGGCAGTGAGTTCATGTTCATGGGGCAGGAACAACTTGGAAAGGGAGGGCGAGAATGGTTTGTTAACTTGAAGAATTAGTCAGTCACTCAACTACAAATGTAGAAATTACCCAGTTGGTGTCTGTTTTGCTGTGGGTACTGTCAATAACAATAAAAAAATAGTGTTTCCCATGCACGTGTTACCATCTGTCCTCCCCCTTCAATACCAATGGCTCTTGGGCTTATGCTCCCTCCGGAAATGGTTTACTGTGGACCAATTCCTTTTCGGTATGCTGACTCTCTATTCCTTCCATTTTCTTTTGATGTTTCCTGAATTGTTCAGTATTTTGCCCATAAAATCCCTCAATATGGCGACACAAGGCTTGAATTTTTCCTTCAGTTCTGTCAGCTTGAGAAATGCTGAGGACATTCTTCCTTTTGGTTTTCTAGCTCTGGGACTTTGTACATTTTGTTATGATACTTCACTTTGTTTTCTCGGGCCACCATTTGAAATCATCATCTTCTTCTTCTTTTAACTCTCTATTGTGATTTGGGTGAAAGCTTACAGAACAAACTGGTTTTCCATTCAACAACTCATCCACACTTTGCCTGTCACCAGGAGTGCAGTTCCCACAGTGTAACAGTACTCTTCACACTTCCTCCCTGTGTTTGCATTTCCATCCGTGCTTCTTTCCTGTCTCTTCCTGCCTTCTGAGCTTCATGCCTGGGCGAATGCTGCCCTTTGGATTCCAGTTGGTTGATTGTTCTAAGTGCGTACCTCCCTGGAGTTATTGTTCACCTTGTAGGCCCGTCTGTCATTTGGCTGAAAGTTGAGCCACTAGGGTGAGTTCAGTTTGAAGCCTGAATGGTGTCTAAGAGCCACTGTCTCTATCACTAGTAAGCCTGGCCTTCTTTTATTATTTTGAGTTTTGTTCCACATTTTCCTCCCCCTCTGTTCAGGATTGTCAATTGTGTTCCCATGCAGAGCAATCAGTAGTGGTAGCCAGGCACCATCTTGTTCTTCTGGTCTCAGGGTCATAGAAGCTGGGGTTCATCGGGCCCATTAGTCCTTTGGACCAATTGTTTCCTTGCATCTTTGAATTCATTCTTCTTTGCTTTGGATGGGCAAGGACCAATAGCTGAACCTTAGAAACCTTAGAAAAGCTTCTCACAAGCTTTTAAAACCCAGCTGCTACTCACCAAAGTAGGCCGTAGAACATAGTCTTTGTGGCTGTTGTACCAAGTGGCTTAGCTATTCCCTGAGAGTATGGTCCTAAGCCCCCAGGCCCAGCAACTCATTCCCTTAAGGTGCTTGTTTATGGTGAAGACATCTCCTTTGAAACCTTCTATTCAGTTCTTTTACTTCATCATGCCTTTCATTCACTTTAGCTACTCTATGTTCAACAGCAAGTTTTGGAGTCTCTTTTGACATCCATTTTGGTCTCTTCTTTCTTGTCTTTCTAATGATTTTTGTTTCTTCATGATGGTGTCCTTGATGTCATCTCACAGCTCATCTGGTTTCTGGTCGTTAGGGTTTAATATGTCAAATCTATTCTTGAGATGGTCTCTAAATTCAGGTGGGATATACTTAAAGTTGTACTTTGGCTCTTGTGGGCTTGTTTTAATTGTCTTCAGCTTCAACTTGAAATTGCATATGAGCAACTAATGGTCTGTTCCACAGTTGACCTGACTGTATTGAGCTTCTCCATCTTCTCTTTGCACAGATGTAGTCAACTGGATGCCTGTTTATTCCACCTGGTGAGGTCCATATGTATGGTCATGTTTATGTGGTTGGAAAAAAGGTATTTGTAATGAATAAATCATTGGATTTGCAAGATTCTATCATTTGATCTTCAGAGTCATTTTTATCACCAAGACCATTATTTTCCAACTATCAATCCTTATTTGTTTTCAGTTTTCACATTCCAATCACCAGTAATTATCAATGCATTTTGATTGTATGTTTGACCAATTTAAGAGTAGATAAGTTGGTAAAAATCTTCAATTTCTTCATCTTTGGCATTAGTAGTTGGTGTGTAAATTTGAGTAATAGTTATGTTGACTGATCTTTTTTGTTAGCTGATG